ATTATTATTATTATTATTATTATTATCTTCGAGAAAACGCAAAGAGACTTCTGCGTTTCTTTTCATTGAAAAGGCAGAATTCAAATTACAATCCTCCTAAGATGTACAGGGAGTGAAAAATGCAGAAAAATTAATGTACATCCCAGGTCTGGGGCAGAGTGTCGCAAAGCCTGGAAGCGCCAGCTCTAGCCCAAAGCGTCGCCTCGTCCTTTAGCAACAAGGTTGCTGACTGAAGGCTGGGCGCCCTCTAAGACATAGTCGTTACGGAGTTTCCAGATCATCCATGGGGTGAGCAAGGCAATGGAGGCGAGGCCTTTGAGCATGGGTTTCAGGGTGCGCTGTTTAGAAGCGCACCACCAGTTCAGAAGGGAAGCATCATGGTTCCGCGGCATGCAAGCCATGCGGAGCCAGGCGAGTATCTCGTGCCAAACCTGTCTGTAAAACAGGCAACAGAGCAGTAGGTGGTACATCTCTCGGGGCTCTAGCAGCAGAGGAGGCACGAGGTGTGGGGCTGGAGGCCGCGGCGCGCAAGGAGGTCGGTGGTCATCCAACACCGATCCTGATCAGCAAGCCAGTGGAAGAAGCGCACATGAGGGGACGCCCAGAACTTCCAGGAGCTGTTGTGGGTCGAACCCTGGAAGGTGACCTGATAGCAGGATTTCACAGAGTAAAATCCGCTCGAAGTCCACTTCCACAGGAGGCGATCAGGTTTCATGGTCCGGGTGGTGTGCCCGACAGCATGTTTACAAGTGAAAGTCATAGTTCTGTCACCATAATAAAAAGATAATGCTACATGTATGGTTAGACATTGACATTAACTAATGTTAGAATACTGTATGTATACCATAAGGCAGAAGAACATGATTTCCTCATACTCCCTCCGTCCAAAAATTCTTGTCTTAGATTAGACAAATATAAGACAAGAATTTTGGGACGGAGGGAGTATTATGCATGTAGCAGTACAAGAAGTGTAGTATTTTCACAAGCTGAGCAGGGCAGCAGCAAGAAATTTGGCAATGTTCAGAGCAAGATGATAAAACAGAGCCAAAGAGATGTCACGTACCCTTTGCTTTCTTCACCCTTTCCATCATAGATTCTGCTTCAAGCTGCATCTCCATGGCTTTCTTAGCTCCCTCTGTTGGAGTAATGCCTAAAAGTGGACAGTTTGTAGTTTATTAGTAATGGAATAGAGATGCCGTATTACGACATTTGACACCCCATTCACACGATGAAAAGGAAAAACCATACGTATGTTGTATTTGAGGCATTTGACACCCCACTCGCATGATGCGTAATTGATTGACTTCTGCAGATAGAGAAACAAGACAAAACAATTTGTTAGATGAGTTGTAGGACCATGACATTTACGAGAGAGAGAGGTGTGATAGTAGTAGGTACCATGATGTTGTGGTTGAGCGTGTCTCTTTCCTTAAAAGTCTTGTCAAGGGTAATCTTGCAAATTTCACTGCCTGCAACAAACTCCGCGAGATGGGTGACTGCATAGATGGGGTTCTCTATGGCGTAGGAAGCAAGGAAGGGATCGGCAATCTGCACAAGCCAATTTCAATCGATTCAGTTTGTAAGCTAAGCAAGCTTCCTAGGGTTTAGGGGTTAGAGATGACCTTGACATGGAGCACTCCTCCGATCTGGATCAAGGTGCCATCCTTTGTGATGGCAGGGTTGTCCGGGATTTGGATGGCCTCCTCCTCGAGCGAGTGGACGTAGGCGATGCGGTCGATGCCGGGCACGAGGAAGTGAATCCCCGAGGAGAGAGACTTGTGGTACATGCCTAAGCGCTCCACCACGAACACCTTCCTCTCCGGCACGATGCTCACGCCCAGGTTCACAGGGGTCGACAGCGGGCCGACCGCCGCGGTGGCTCCCCTGTACCAGCGGCAGCTGGACCCTAGGCCCTGCAGCTGCGGCGGGTCCGGGCGGCTGGAGCGGAGGAGGCAGAAGGCGGAGGAGCGGCGCGCGTGAAGGCGCATCATCCGGGTCGCCGTTGACATCGCCATCGTAATAGGGTTTATCTGTCTCTTCTCTTTTCTCCTATCTTTTCTCTCCCTCTCTCTATTTATCTAAGCCTCGATCGGTTTCCAGGCACGATACTATCACGCTCCTTTTCGGGGCTCCGGCCGGAAAAAATGAATGGAGTGATCGAGATGGGCTAGGCCCAAAGTGTTGATTGCTAGGGATAGTAAAACGTGCGTCGCACGGCCGCAGACCACACGCGGATCGTTTCGTCGCTCTTGCCGCTCGCAAACATTGCGCGCTTGCGATTCTTGTCTCCGCCGTGTGCCATAATGCATTCGTTTCTGGCTTGCCGCCTTTGCTGGCAACTCGGCCTCGTCCAGGTGGTTCCTCATCGACCCAAGTCCTACCTCCGGGACCGATTCTTCGACGCTGTCGCACAGCTTGGAGGCCAAACAGTGAGGAGATCGATCCATCCTTTTGTCTCAGTCTATATGTTGATAATTTGTTCAGTTCTTAGTTTTCTAGTAATTTTGTTTCATGGCAAATCCAACTCTGAATACACTAGTAAAAAACAGGGCTTTCGACCATTCTTAATGTACA